TACTTGGTACTTTAAGTTACTGTTAGTTATTATAATATATTATATATAGTAGTATCGGGTTATTATATATCTAAATATAATTATAAATATATTCAAGGAGTTTTAAGTGCTTCTGACAATATAAGTAGCAGTTAATGAACGGCTATCAGACTTCATGATTTGTAGTTAGCTTTAAATTATTGTAATAAATACATCCAGTTTTGGTATTGTTCGTCATGTCGAAGTCCAGATGAAATTCCGGACATTTTTAATAGAACCGAAGGAAGCTTTAACTCAGACTGCTGTCATTTGTATAATAAAATATTGCAGAACAATAAGGCCACCTCAACTTAGGAATGTGTAAATCAGACAACTCATGAAAAGAAAGTCACCACAAAGTTGACTTCTCACAAGATTCGTTGAAACTCAAATATATTATGCATATATAATTTATCAGGGTATACGCTTCGAAGATCTAAACTCTTTAAGCATTTTATTGAGGTTGGCATAAGATCTATTATATCAGCATCATACGAATACTGAACATAGTTTTGTATTCGCCTTTTACCCAAAATAAATGCCTGGCCAGTTAATGAAATGAATCTACAAGTAGGCATACTGGTATGTTCAAAATATTGCATTTTTATGAAGCTATTGAAGGTCAGTAATTTTTGAAATTATGTCTACTCATATGGTCAGTCGGCTAGGCTACTGCTCGAAGGCATCTTCTCTGAAGCACTAGTTGCTCTTCATTAGAGGATCCTTTTATACGATTGTGATCACCTTTGTTGGAGTACCTTTCACTTGGATTGAAGAGGCGGCTGAAGGGGACTCGAAAGTTGGCCTCCCCGGAAACTGCTGTCCTTTCGTCCGTCTTGTGACGGACATAGTCAGAGAGGGACAACATAATTTGCGATGCCTCACCAAACACAAATACAATAACGGTGACCTACTTTGTTTACTCCAACTCGGTCAATTTCATGAAGCAATGATTTGTTTGGATAACTTATGCTTTTTATGAGATGTTTTCACACTATTTTTCAGTTAAATTCTCAAACAAT